CACTTAAAATCAGCGTCATTGGCCAACACGGCCCGTGTCAGGCAACATGACTGCCCCTATTGGCCATCAGGAATTTTTTGGCTCCAGGCATGTTGACACGGCATTTGTCAGGTGACACGGTCGCCAGTGTCAACCCCTATTTTCCACGCTTTTCATGTCTTCTGCTCCAGGCATGCTGACACGACCCGTGTCAGGCGACAGGACCGCCCGTGTCAGCCTCTGTTTTCCACGCTTTCCAAGTCTTCCCCCTAACATGGCCCGTGTCAGGTGACACTGCCACCCGTGTCAGGGCTCCTGTAGCATTTCCTCCAAAACTTTGAATTATGCACTTTTTTCACTTTGATTTGTCTTGTTTTATTCTTTTGAACCTGAAAACACTAAAACAAAAAAGAAAAGCATAATATGCGATAAAACGATATAAAACCTCGATAAGTAAAGGAAACGATAACTAAAAAAATGTTAAATATTTGTGTAAAAATCACTGATCAAACTCCTCAAAACTTAAACTGTTGCTTGACCTCAAGCAACCATTACAAAGACTCATGAAAATCACATTAGCCTGGTACTCATACGTGAGACGTTCGTTCTAATTGATCAAAAAGTAGTTCGTCTAATGTTCACATGATGCGAAGAGTTTGTGTAAGAACCTTTTAAATCTCGAGCTTCCTCTTCATATACCTCTCTAACTATGCTTTGTACTTAAGTATTTTTCTAGTTTTCCTCCTTTTTTATTCGGACAGTCAAATTAATGAAATGAGAATTTTTATGATCATCACATGCACAAGAATGATCAAGAAAATTTTTGTTCAGGCACCACATAAGAGCTTTTGCTCCTTTTTAATTGCAGATGAAATTTTCAAAACTTTTCAGTTTATATATTGTCCTTTATGGACGAAGTTTGGGAATCAACTCCCTTTGGTCTGAATAACCTGGTGAGGGATATCTAACTTAATGAGTCAGTTGCCTTTTACCTCCTTTTCATCATTTGGTTCCAGCTTATTTATTTCTCAACCAATCATATCTGCATGTGAATCTATATTATGCCAGACTATAAAGATAAACTACTCAAGGAGTACTTCTCAGGATTCAAGCACTATGGTACAAATCTACATGTTATACTCGTATCACTATCACATTATTCCGAACTTCCTACCCTCGACCAACCATCCCTTTGTCTCTATATACTATTCCTGAACTCTATGACAAACAAGTTCTTGAACAAAACAAAATTTTTCGGCAAAATTTGGGAAGGACTTTAACTCGTGGATTTACACAGCAATTAGCATAGAACCAACAAATAATTTGAAACAAAAAGCAAAAAAAAAAAAAACCTTAAACTTGAACTAAGCATTAACCCCAATGTTTCAAAACAAGCTCGAGGAAGGTGACTCGCAGAGGAAAATGCAACACATGCTTCTGCCTCCTAGCTTTCACCAGTAAGACTCCCTTTTTATTACCTGCAGACAAAATGAAACAAACACAAAAAGAAAAACTAAGTTATTAAAAGCGTGGGTTGCCTCCCACAAAGTGCTTCATTTAACGCCGCAGGGCTCGGTGGTCAATCCCCTTATGGGGGGTATTTCCTTTTCCAGACCTTGTTGCTTGTCTCTTCCGCAATCCAGAACTCATTCAGATTAAAAGTATCAACCCATTTGTACTTCCAGCCACTTCCAACTACCATCTTCTTCGGTTGGTGTTTCTTATTCTTTCTCTTCTTTCCTTCTTGATTGCGCTTTGGAATTTTTATTAATGCCACCTGAGATATTTTTCCCGAGACTTCTTTTGGGAGTGATTTTGAACTGTTGCTTTCTCATTCTACTTTGATCATTCTAACTGAAGATTTATTCTTTCCACCTGCACCTTGCTTCTTGATTTCCAACACCTTCAAGGTTATCTCCTCATCAAATGATTTTAGTGTCAGATTACCTGTCTCGATATCAAAATTGCATCGACTTGTAAGCAGAAATTGTCGATAAAGAATGATAGGTGTCTCTTCATCTTCAGGAATGTCCATGATCTGGAAATCTACTAGAAAAACAAAATTGTCAATTTCTACTAATACATCTTCAGCTATCCCATATGACTGCTTGATAGTGTAATCAACAAATTTCAATTTTGTCCCACTCCCGCTTATCTTCTCAATATTGAACTTCTTGAAAATCGATAATGGTATTAAACTCACACTAGATCCAGAATTAACCAGAACCCTCTTGAAAGTTATGTTTTTTATGGTGCATGGTATTACAACTAACCCTGGATCCTTCTACTTGATAGGTATTTTCCTCTCGGGTGAAATTACACATAATTTCTCATCACAGGGTACCGATCCTCTCCTGTTGATCTCTTCTTTGATAATACCTCCTTCATGAATTTTTGATACAAAGGCATTTTCTCGAGTGCTTCAAAGAATGGTATATTGATCTCTAACTTCTTGAACAACTGGACAAATTTACCAAACTCTTTATCTTTTGTATCCTTATTTTCCACTCAAGATGGATACGACAACTTAATTTCTGGTTTTGTTTTCTCTTCAACTGGCTTCACAGGTGATATCACTTATTCCTGTTTTTCTTGTTCTCTCTCACTTCCAGCTCTACTTCTATGATATTATCATCAAATTTTACCTCATATTTCTTTTCTTTAGTAGCTTTCTCATTCCTTGTTGTGACAACATTAACATTCTCATGAATTTTCTGATTTTCTTGTACTCGCAGCGCTACCTGTTATACAATCTGTCCCATTTGAACTTCTAAAATTTTGATTGCAGCAGTGGTATTTCTGTGATTACTCCTTGTCTCTTCTTGAAATTGAGAGGTGTGGGCAGATATCTTTTTAATAGCCACCTACCACTCTATCTTCTGAGGAGCTTGTTGCTACTGATATTTCCAGGAGAAGTTAGGATGATTCTTCCACCCAAGATTATAGGTGTTAGAATATGAGTTATTTTGCTTCAAGAATTTTATCTCTTCAATTTGTTATGGAGTTTCAAGACATTGTACAGTAATGTGTGGTCTACTACAAATTTCACAAACAACCTATTGTACCTGTTGAACACCCATGTTCATTGCTTTCATCCTTTTCTCTACTTCTGCAGCAATTGCTTCTTCAATTTTCAGTTGCTTATTAACTTCTAACTTCAGATCAATCAACCCCTATGGTTTGCTCACAACCTATCATATAGCTCCAGATGCTCATTTGCAGTAATGACTTCAATAATTTTATTTACACCAGTGGCTATTGTAAAGTTGGATGAGCCACCGGCTGCTGTATCAATAAGCTGATTTATCTTTATTCTGAGGCCATTCACAAACATCTGCATTTGCTCTGTTTGAATCATGTTGTGCATGGGACATGATACCAGTAACCTCTTGAACCTCTTGTAAGCATCACCTAGTGACTCTCCTTCTTTCTGCTTAAAATTCACAATTTCATATCTTTTGCAAATGTAAACAGAAGCAGGAAAGTATTCATCAAGAAAAGTCTTCTTTGTTCCCAAGTGGTGATACTTCCATCAGGTAATGAGTAAAACCACTCTTCAGCATCTTTAGACAACGTGAATGAGAACATCCTTAATTTCTTGGCTTCTTCAGAGTGCCCCTCAATCTTCAAAGTAGTACTCATGGTGAGGAATCTCTACAAATGCTTATTGGCATCTTCTTTGATCTTTCTAGTGAAATATCTGTTCTCGAGCAGACGGATTGTTGAAGGATGTAGTTGAAAATTTGCAATATTGACCGGTTGATTCACAATAGTCAACCAACCTGCTGGAGCATTTGCTCCTCCATAATCCCTAAGAAGTCTCACTGGTGGTGGTGGTGGGTTTTCACCCATAGTTTTGGGTTGCGATTTTGAACCCGAGTCTGTATATCAAAAGGAAATTCAACTGAGGGTTTTCCTTGCATGAAAAGGTTAGGAAAAATCAGTAATAACAAAAATATAAAAAATACTGAAAAGAAATTTTAATTGTAGAGCAACAAAATTCTAATTGAACTCAAATTATACTCAATAACTAGGCAGTCCCCAGCAACGACGCCAAAAACTTGATAGAAAAAATAGCAAGTATACTATTTTTTCCTCTTTAATAATAGGGACATTCCCTAAATGTCGATCTCAAGGATTTCATGCAATTATCGAGTTAAATTTGTAGTTCAATTAAACAAAACTTGATATGGGTTTTGGTTTTGGATTTATCACTTAACACGTAGCAGAAATATAAAATGGCTTTTTCAAAGATATGAGAAGCATGCTAGGGTAAGGTGTATAATTTTCTCTGTAACTATCTTGAATCCTGATCTCTTCAACAAGTTCATATCCTTCAATTACCAGCCCTTTAGATTATTTTTCCTCAAGTTCTTAATGGGAAAACCTTTGAACATTCGTCCTAAATCCTAAGTCCTTAGAGATATATGATGGATTTAAGCCTTTGTTTTATCAAGAGTTATCTGGTAACTATAGGGGTATCCCTAGTCCTAGGAGATGTCTACTATAGTATAATTGTACAAAAACCTTAACAATTACAGTTCAGTTAATTATTAACCGTAGAACAATCCTTATTTATCCGATAAAGAAAGCATGGAAAACCTTGCACTACGCCAAAAATAAGTTTTAGCAGCACATAAAAGAAAGCGCTTTGGGAAAAAAGCGCTGGTGTAGGTTTTACAAAAAATTTGCTTAAAAAAGCACTTTCAAAGGGTGCCTTAAGAAAGCGCTTTTAAAAAGCGCTTCTAAAGGTCACCCTTAGAAAGCGCTTTTTGGGAAGCGCTGCTAAAGCTGGCCTTTCAGAGGGTACCTTAAGAAAGCGCTTTTCAAAAGCGCTGCTAAAGGTCAGCCTTAGAAAGCGCTTTTCCAAAGCGCTGCTAAAGCTGGCCTTTAGAAAGCGCTTTTAAAAGCGCTGCTATAGGATATGCTACGAAAGCGCTTTTTGATGTAAAAGCGTTGTTATAGATGACCTTTAGAAAGCACTTTTAAAAGCGCTTTCGTAGGTAGTTTTATAATAAATATCAAAACACAATTCGTATCACTTTTCTATTCTCAGTCAGATTTTCTTCACGAAAAAACCCTAAACCAGAGCTTCTACGACAGTCAACGGCGCTCCACTTCTCCGGCCTAAACCTGATTCATTTGCATGTTTATTTATTTCGTTGTTATGTTCTTCATACATCTTGTTCTTACTTAGATTTTTGTTCTCTTTTTCCGATCTATTATATTTGTGCTTTTGAGTATGAGTTTCCACCTTATCTTCATATCTATTACCTTATTTGGTTCCCTGTTGGTTGATCCTCAGAATCATCAGTGCATTTTCCAGACCACTTGTGCTCTTCAGCTTTTGCTTTTGCTTCGCCATTCTTCCCCGTCTTCCCTGTAAGATCCTTAATATCCGCTTTTTCATGTTTATTGTTTACCTTATTTTGACCTTCCTTCATTTTATTCTGACTAACGTTATTTTTTTCATTGCATATACCACTACTTCTAGTTTTCTGATTACAAAGAGTATGAGTGGTTGCTTGACTTGGCATAGCTTCGTTAACTAGCTGATTCTCGCTCAGGTAATCTCCATTATTACTTATGTTGTTGCCACTTTGGTTTTTTTTTGTTGTTGTTGTTGTACCCTTCTTTCACTTTATCATTCCTACTATACTTGTTGTTTTCCTTAATGATAATGCCATTGTTTTTGTGTTTGTTTGCTCTCCATGTGTGTTCAAGAGTCTTTTTGTATTTTCCTATGGCTTCCTTATCTTGGTTCCCCTTTGAACTTTCACCAATGTACCATCTTGTACTAGACTTTGTATCCTTCAATTGGTCTTGCTTTTTATGCATTTTTCTCCTCGACTGACTGTTGCTCTTTATGCTCGGGTAATCTTTCATGATTCCTTTCCCTTTGATATTGTTGTTTTAATTGTTGGTGCTCTATTGATTCGTGTTCTTGTTTTCCTTAACATGATCATCACCTTTGTTCTTCATATTGCACTCCTTCCTTTGCTCTGCTCCGACAGAATATTTATGCACTCCTGATGTTGCTCCTTGAGGTTAGTTTGATCCATTTCTCAACTTTTGTTTTCAGTAGGATTGCTAGTGTCGACTTCTCTAGACATATAAGTTACTCCTATTTGTTGGGATAATAGTTGTAGTGATCTTTGATCCACTTATGTTTATGTCTGTGTAAGAAGCAGCAGTAGTGTTCATGTTATATATATATATATATATATATATATATATATATATATATATATATATATATATATATATATATATATATATATATATATATATATATATATATATATATATATATATATATATATATATATATATATATATATATATATATATATATATATATATATATATATATATATATATATATATATATCAGTGAAGTAGTCAAAGTAGGTAGTTATCTCCAAGCTAGATTGATCTTGATTATAAAAGATAACTCTGTTTCGTGTCCACCAGATACAATAAAGGGTGTTCATTACTCTTATGTTAACCTCCTTGTCTTTCTCATCTATAGTGTCCCAGTTCCATATCTGAATATTGGGCATCATATCATTATTAAAGGTTATGTTAAACCTAGTATTGAACCAGACCTTATTTGTCCAATTACCCCTCATGAATACGTGGTTAGTAATCTCCTCACGAGTGAAGTACATGGGACATAATATGGGACAATTGATCCCTTTTTTCTTAAGCTCACCACGAACTGGCATAACATTGTTTGATTGTAATATGTTCTCCATTAGGGGTGCAGATAGGTCAGACCAGACCTTAGAAGACCTAAACTTGACCTATGATAAATTTTTAAGACCTGAACCTGGTCTCTGACCTATTATAGGCTTTATTTATTTTATTTGATTTGACCTTCTTAAAAGTCGTATATGGCGTGAAAATCTATTTAAAAGCTTGTTCCGTGTATGAAATCTTATAAGTCAATCTATTTTGTCTATTTTCTAATTTATATGCAATTCGTATCAGGTTTCATTTTTTTCCTCATATCGTATGTGTTTGTCTGGTTTTCGTGTTCTTTTGTTTGGTTAATGATTTTGAGAAAGCATGGTTTCTACTGTCATAGAAGTTACTAAGAAGTTGTGCATATAAGTAACATGCTAAGAGAGAAATAATGGAGAATAACATGCTAAGAGAGAAATAATGGAGAGTGTCACACATAATGGAGAGTGTCTTTGTTTACGTTTAATTATGTCATGGGTGTTTGGTTTGTGGTGTTTTATTGGTTCTTTCATGTACAGAGAATATGACTTCTTTAGAGGCATTGAAATAATACTATGATATTATTGTGAACCAGAAAAAAATGCTTAATTAATTATATAGACTTACATTAACAAGTTGTGCATTGGTAAAACAAGTTAAGAGAGAAATAATAGAGAGCGTAACAAAATATTTAATAAAGGTAGCCATATTGTTAACTCTATTAATATATTGTTTTTTTCGTGTGCTTTTTATGATTGATTTTGACCAACGCTGATAACAATGGTTTTTATATATTTTGAGGTACAAAAATGATGTATATATATTTTGGATTATAATGGTATACAATGCATTACCGCGGTTTATGAATTACAGGTTATGGCAACTGGTTTATATAAATAATATGCTGCAAACAATGCAGGTATATGAATTATATAAATTATACCTCTAAAAAAACACCCTATGAAAGCGCTTTTTTAAGAAAAACGCTGTCTTAGGTAACCTATGAAATTGCTTTTTCTGGAAAAGCGCTGTCTAAGGTAAACATATGACAGCGCTTTTCCAGGAAAAAGCGCTGCTAAAAGACCACCTATGAAAGCGCTTTTTCAGAAAAAAGCATTGCTAAAAGCCTACCTAAGACAGCGCTTTTCCAGAAAAAAGCGCTGCTAAAAGAAAACTTATGAGAGCGCTTTTCCAGAAAAAAGTGCTGCCTTAGGTAGACCTATGAAAGCGCTTCTTCATAAAAAAGCGCTGCCAAAAGCCTACTTAAGAGAGCGCTTTTTAGAAAAGTGTTGTATTAGGTAGACCTACGAAAGCGCTTTTCATTAAACAAAAAGCGCTGCTAAAACCTATAGCAGCGCCACCTAAGAAAGCGCTTTTAAGCGCTTTTAAAGGTCAAAAAAAGCGCTTTCGTAAGTCTTTTTTGGCGTAGTGTTGTACAATTAAATCGAATAATAAAAACCATGTAATTGATGAAATCAGAAATTCAAAGTTATTACAGAATCAAATCAGAGTCACCCCCTTGCAATGGGGGGTTTAGCTACTCATATTGTTCAAAATAATCACAAGATAAAGATTAGACGCTACAAGTAATTGGATAACTTTGAATCTTTAATTGCTTTCGTTCATGAGTATCTTCCACTCTCCAAGAACCTTGATCTCCCTAATCTTCAGTCGTGTAAACTATTCTTTGCTCTTGCAAAAGGTCCCCTAATTCCTCTTTCCTATTTGACTAAATAGTGAACAATCCATTTGTCTTAGTTAGAAATGCCCAAAATGCCCATTTCGGTCCCAAATAGTGAAAAATCATAAAAACACTTAAAATCAGTGTCATTGGCCATCACGGCCCGTGTCAGGTGACACGACCTCCTATTGGACATCAAGAATTTTTCTGCTCCATGCATGCTGACACGGCCCGTGTCAAGCGACACGGCTTCCCGTGTCAGTCCCTGTCTTCCATGCTTTCCAAGTCTTCTACCCCCAAGTATGCTGACACGGTCCGCGTCAGGCAACACGGCTGCCCGTGTCAACCCCGGTTTTCCCTACTTTCTAAGTCTTCCCCTGGCATGACCCGTGTCAGGTGACACAACCCGTGTCATGTGCACGGCTCGTGTCAGGCCTCCTGTAGCATTTCCTCTGAAACTTTGAATTATGCACTTTTCCGCCCTGATTTGTCCTGTTTCATTCTTTTGAACCTAAAAACACTAAAACCCATAACCAAAGCATAATATGCTATAAAACGAAATAAAACATCGATAAGTAAAGGAAATGATAACTAAAATAAAGGTTAAATATTTGTGTAAAAGCCACTGATCATTGACAAAAGAAGCTCTCAGAGCCTGCTCAACCTCCCTCTCAGAAGTTCTTTCAGTCAGACGCAACTCTTGCGCCTCTAGACTGCTCTGCAACTCTTTTATTCTCATGGTGTCCAAATCTTTAAAATGTTCAATTGCTACAACAATGTAATCAAATTTAGAAGTAAGACACCTTAATATCTTCTCAATGATTACTTGTTCAGAAAGAGTTTCTCCACAAGCTTTCATCTTATTAGTGATCAGAATCACTTTGGAGATGTACTCAAAAACCTTCTCGTTGTTCTTCATATTTAGATTCTAATACTGCTTTCACAGGGACTGAAGCTTCACCTTCTGCACTGATGTGTCAACACCGTAACACCTAACCAATGTGTCCCATACAACCTTCATCGTCGTCGAATCAGTGATTTTCTCAAACACGTTCACATCCATACACTGATGAATGTAGAACAACGTCTTCTGATCTTTCTTCCTTTTGTCTCTCTACGTTTTTCTCTGTTCTTCCATAGCATCTGATGCAACTAAAACGTAAGCTTCGGTAACAAGCTCAAGAACATCTTGAGCATCGAATAACACGCACATCTTAATCATCCACCTATTCTAGTTCTTGCCATAAAAAACTAGAAGTTTGGTGCTCAGATTATTATTTCCGTTCATCTTCAACCTTGTACAAAACTCTCATATCTCACTAAACACGATGTTTTCCAATCTCGCGGAATCAGAAAATGTGATTCTGTTCTGATTTTTGTTCAAGATTCAAATACAAATTCAAGAACCAAAATCAATCACACGACGCCTCACTGTTTCACTCGTATTTTCCCATGGATCCGAACCGGATCTCTAGATACCAACTGTTAGTGCATAAGATGATGAAAACAAAAATAATGAGAATATATTTATTACTCTACAATGACGGCTACAAAAGTGTAAAGATTGATTACAAATGACAGTTATCACTAGTCTATTTATACACAAAGTAAATTGTCACGTAGACCCTAACAAAAGGTAAACTTAAAGACTAAGTTAACAAACAGACTAAACTTAACAGCTACCCTAACAAAATAAACTAGAACCCCAGAAGTTAAACATACTTCTAGACCTAACCTCAGAAACTTCTACTTCTGATTAACAATCTCAGAAGCTCTACTGCTTTTGAGCAACACTGCTTCTGACTTTAATAACTTCCGAGTATGAATTACTTCCAACAAAATTTAATTCCGCACACTCAACTATATCGGTCCTACCTTTTATTAATTTTTCTTCTCTTTGTTGGAATAATATAGCAAGTGTGAGTAAGTGGGGAAATAGTCCCACATTGAATAGGAATGTGGAGACTTAAGCATATATATCACCTTAAGGTTTTAGGTGGATAAGTGGTATGTCTCTCACAAATGTGCTTATTCCTACACTATGTATCAATGCTCCTAGTATCTTCCCCCAACATGGTATCAGAGCCTTTGGTTCGAGAAAGGGACCAGAAGAGACTTGTATCGAAATGCGTCCAGGAAGTGGTGTTCTGTTGCAAGATGTCAATGGCGGTACAAGTGGGGGAGCATTGTGGACTCACACTTGAGGGGGAGTGTTGGAATAATATAACAAGTGTGAGTAAGTGAGAAAATAGTCTCACATTGAATAGGAATGTGGAGACTTAAACATATATAAGTGAGAGAATTCACTCACCTATCATCTTAAGATTTTAGGTGAATAAGTGGTGTGTCTCTCACAAAAATACTTAATTCTACACTATATATTAATGCTCATAGTATCTCCTCCTAACACTTTTAGCATTGTTTTCATTGTTGTCAATCCTCTCTAACGAGACTCAAATTCAATTTTGAATCATGATAT